CCTATGCTTCCTTCACCCAGCTCTGTGCTTCCTTCGCCCAGCTCTGTGCTTCCTTCACCCAGCTCCGTGCTTCCTTCGGCAGCGCGGAGATGCCGGAGCGGCGGCGGCAGCGCAGGCCTCCGAATGAAAGATTAAACAGATGAATAATACTGAGCTATTGGACATGACAGCTGAACTATGTAATTCCAGAACTGCCTTGCTCAATTAAATTTAATATATTCTCAATTTGTACCTTCGGTTTATATGAATATATAAGGAAATATGAATTCGTCAGCACGTTCTCAGTGACAGAAAGGAAGCTCCAAGCACAGATCCTACTAAACGATCGCTTTCCCCTACGAGGAACCTACGCCGCGTTGAACGCAACCGTACAACGACAAAGAGACACGGAAAGACACCTTTACCTCCAGAATCTGGTCGCCGGCCCAAAGCCTGCCATCGCGCGCCGCTGCCCCTTCTTCATAAACTTCATGGATCACTATGGCATCCTGCGGGAACAAGGGGGTGGCGTGAATCCTCCCTCCCAAACACCCGCAAAGCGGCAGCTACGGCCCACCCCGGGCAGCCCACCGCTCGGCAGCAAAAAGGCACAGCACTCCGTGGCAGGATAAACCAGACTGGAACACAGATTTACATATTATTATTATTTTTTTTTTTAATGTTTTGGAGTAAGAAAACGACTGCCATAATGAAAAAACAGACATCTGGTATAAAGGTAAAAATGATTTTGTTCCCCACTTGTCTTGTCTTGTCTAGAGCTTCGTGGGCTCCCATCACTTTTATACATTGGCATCAGCAGCACGTGAACTCGGGGTGAACCGCTGTATTAATATCGTCTACTTTTTATGATATTATTTAAAACCAGATTCTTTGGAGCTATGAATATTTTTAGGGACTTGGCATAGATCTCAGCTTTAAGCAAGAACTGAATGCCTTGTGGTAAATAGCGCTGGTTAAATCTGTAAGAAATGAAATCCAGAAGAAACGAACAATGGCAAATGTTAGTTTATTACTGAGGTTGGAAAATGTAGGCAGTGGCAGATGTAGCTTCAGGGAAGGTTTCAGTGATTTAATCTTATTGCCAGCAATAGATGTCCCCAAAGAAAAAGCATTACAAAGAACATACTGTTCTCTTGCTGGTGCTTTCCCTTTGCATTGTTCTGGTTTGTTTCTTTTTTTTTCTTTTCTTTTTTTTACCCTGAAACAAATAGGTGAACATCCTGCAGGAGCGCTTCAGCTGTGGTCCTGACAGCTAGCAGGATGGGACTCTTCCTGCAAAACACGTTCCTCTCTCCAACATCACCAGCAAACACCCAGCACCGGCGTCACTACGAACTTTAAAACGGCTCTGGATAAAACACGCAGTGATTTTCAGTTAGATCCGCAGGCATCGGATAACCCGTTCTCAGACAAACACACCCTCTAGAAACGCAACGGTGGTGAAGTTCCTTCACCAGTTTGATGCACGAGTCCAAGGGGAGACTTTCCGCAGCGTGTGCAACAAAAGGCGACGGGGTTGGCGGTGCGCGAGCCCCGCTGTGCACCGCCTTCCCGGAGCAGGAGCAGGAAATAGCTGCTGGGGTAGAACAAAGCACCTTCGTGTTTCGAAAACACTCTTCGATACTACATCTCTCATCACCACGTTAACTCCCTCCGTGTTGCCTTGCGATCCTTTCCCAGCACACATGGTGCATGTTGAACAGAAAGAAAACTCAAATGCCCTTAAGCTAACGCTCTGATCAAGACAACATTGAGACCATTATTCTCTTTCATTCCCACTACAGTTTATTTAATGATGTGGACTTGTACCTACAGCCGCTCCGTGGCTGCTGGAGCACAGCACCACTGTCCCAAGCTTCCTCTTTGATTCATATACACCAGTCACTGAAAAAAGCCTGAAGGATTTTAATCACAAATGGATTACAGCTGATACAAGCGTCCCAGATGGGGGGAAAAAAGATTCCAATCTACATAAACGAAGGCAAAATACCGTGAGCTGTGTACCAAGGTAATTAAGAAAATCAAAAGAACGGTTTAATTAAAAAAAAAATTATATATATATACACACACACACCACTGGCAACTGCAAGGTTTCCTAGAAATAACTGAAACAGCAGTGGGACAGAGTAACATGTGCATGTCCATCTCAGCAGCTCTGCCGAAATCCTCTGCTATGTGTCTTAGATTTTCTCTCAGTTGTGGGGTTTTGGTTGTTGTGGTTTTTGGTTGTTTTGATTGTTTTTTTGGGGGTGGGTGTTTTTTTTTTTTTGTTACCTTTGTTTTAAAAACGATCATTTAACTCTAAGTCAACACAAGAGACTTTTGCCTGGGTGAAAGCCAGGAGGGTGACAGTGAGGTATATTTTTTCACCTGAGGCTGATCACGGGTAACTCTGAGAAAAAGCTGAGTCTGTGGTTTAGAACTTCCTTAGCACACTTCACTTTTCCTTTTTTTAAACACTTTACAAAGGAAGGCATTTAGGAGTGGTCAACAAGATAGCACAAAATATTGACCAGCTTGTTAAGACAGCATCATTCAACCAGGACACGCTAGGGCAGTGGGTGAACATGAGGTTTGGCAGAAAAATGGCAATGCAACCAGGTATCAGCAGACTGGGCATGTACACAAGACAGTCAAATCAAACACTTTCAGACTGTATTTAATCTGACACTTCCTAACCTCCGAGCGAGGAACCTTCAATTACATTTCTTTAAGTTTGCCTAACATCTGCGGTTGCTTCAAAAATGGTCAACAAACCAGAGTTACCAGCTTTTCCCAGTGCTGTGTTATTGAATGTAAAACCACACATACCTAAAGCTCGGATTCAGGAATGACTGAATGTTATCAGTTTGAATAATCTGCATCATCTATTTGAAAAGACAACAATTTGGTATTACACTGCGGTTCCCGCATGTGTTAGAAGCCAGA